CTTTGTGAATGAAGTTCTAATACTTATTTGTGTCTATTAAATTTTTTATTGGTTTGGTCTTGGTACTAATATTTTCGAGTTGGATCCTGTTTTTTCTTTATACTTTTAATTTTGATCTCTTGTATTACTCTCATGCTACCAATACAACCAATGTCTTGCTCTGTCTTGCGATGTGTTGGTCTGAGTTGGGTTGTGCTTCTTATTTGCGGTTAGGCTAACCGGTTGGACATTGAATTAATCTTGTAAGTTTTCTTATATAATAATATTTTTCTACTAATGATCTCTTTATATATGTATATATATGTATATATACATATATATATATATATTTATTTACTTATGAAGAAATTTCCTTGTTAATTACTACTGCTGCTATTAGTATGCTTGATTTGATTTCTTTGTGCTACCTTGGGTGACGACCTGGTTTGGTCTTTGAATGAAGTTGTGAATACTTATTTGTGCCTAGAGATTCAATTCGATTTTTTATTGGTTTGGTCTGTGTACTAATATTCTTCAGTTGACGTCTTGTTTTTTCTTTATACTTTTAATTTTGATCTCTTTTATTACTCTAATGCTACCAACACAACCAATGTCTTGCTGTCTTGGGATCTCTTGGTCTTGGCAATGAATTTGGTTGTACTTCTTATTTGTGGGCTAGGCTAACGGGTTGGATATTGAATTAAACTTTTAAGTTTTCTTATATACAAATACGTTTTCTACTAATGATCTTATTTATTTCCTTATTCATTTTATATTAATTTTATGTAATATTCTCTTGTGCTACCAATACAACATATCTGATTTCTTTGCCCTACCGTAGGGGACGTCTTGGTTGGGGCTTAGACTTCAATTGTGCTATGTATGTACGGCTAAGGGATTGGACTGTCAATTATATTTTTTATGTTTTGTCTATGTTCTAATATTCTCTTAATCCTCTTTGTTGGGGGAGAGTTTGGTGTTCGGTTGTGGATATTTTATTAGTTTGGTATATAAATTACTATTTTTCAACTCCTATTTTTTATTTATGCTTTTAATTTGATTTGTTGTTCAACTCTCGTGCTCTTTATATAGTTCGTTCTATTTATTTCTTGCTCTGCTTTGGGGATATCTTGGTTTGTGCTACTTTTTTGTGGCTAAGGGATTGGATATTCGATTATATTTTTAAGTTTTATCATATACTAATATTTTCTTAACCGTGATCTCGTTATTTTCTTTTTCCTTTAATATTGATTTTTTGTCCTATCCTCTTGTGTTATCAATACAGCCCATCTGATTTCTTCGCCCTACCTTAGGGGACGTCTTTGTTGGGGCTTTGAGTTCGATTGTGCTATGTATTTGTGGCTAGGAGGTTGGATAGTCGCTTGTAATTTTTGATTTGCCATCTTTGATGTGTTGGTACTACGGTAGCATGAAACTCGTTTTGAGCCCTAGATTGGACGCATCCTGTGACTTGTAGATTCGATTGCGATACGAGTTAAAATTTTTCCAATAAACTATATTGTTTTATTTTGGAGACCTGGAACCTTAAATCTTAAACTTTTTGTGTCATTCTCTTTTTGCTCTTTGTGTAATTTATTGATTTCCTTTGCCTTACTCTGGGATTAATATGATTGTTCTCTTTGAATTTGATTGTGCTACCTATAGTTTTCTTTTTTCGGGGATGGGAGAGAGGTCGGTGTTCGATTATATATATGTGTGTGTAGAAATATTTCCTTGTTAATTACTCATTCTTTCTTTATAACTTTGATTATTTTGTTCCGTTCTTTTATGCTATCAGTATCAACATGCTTCATTTGATTTCTTTGTCCTACCTTGGGTGGCGAATGAAGTTTTGATACTTATTTGTGCCTAGACCAGTTACATTTTTTATTGGTTTAGTCTATGTACTAATATTTTCCAGCTGAGGTCCTTTTTATTATTTATAATTTTAATTTTGATCTCTTGTATTACTCTCATGCTACCAATACAACCAATGTCTTGCTCTGTCTTGGGATGTGTTGGTCTGAATTTGATTGTACTTCTTCTTATTTGTGGCTAGGCTAACGGGTTGGACATTGAATTAAACTTTTAAGTTTTCTTATATACAAATATTTTTTCTACTAATGATCTATTTATTTCCTTATTCTTTTAATATTAATTTTATGTAATATTCTCTTGTTGTTGTATACAAAGGCTATGTTGTTGTTGTTGTATGTAATATTCTCTTGTGTTACCAATACTTCATATCTGAATTTGATTGTGCTACCTATAATTCTTTTTTTCGGGGGTGAGAGAGAGGTCGGTGTTCGATTATATATATATATGTATATATATATATATGTGTGTGTGTGTGTAGAAATATTTCATTTTCCGTTCTTTTATGCTATCAATATGTTTCATTTGATTTCTTTGTCCTACCTTGGGTGTCGACCTAGTTTGGTCTTTGAATGAAGTTGTGATACTTATTTGTACTAATATTTTCCTGCTGAGGTCCTGTTTTTTCTTTATACTTTTAATTTTGACCTCTCATATTACTCTCATGCTACCAATACAACCAATGTCTTGCTCTGTCTTGGGATGTGTTGGTCTGAATTGGGTTGTGCTTCTTATTTGTGGTTAGGCTAACTGGTTGGACATTGAATCTTGTAAGTTTTCTTATACACTAATATTTTTCCACTAATGATATCTTTATTTCCTTATACTTTTAATATTAATTTTATTTTATGTTCCATTCTCTTGTGCTACCAATACTACCTATTTGATTTCTTTGCCCTACCTAAGGGGACATCTTGGTTGGGGCTTGGACTTCAATCGTGCTATATGTATTTACGGCTAAGGGATTGGACAGTCAGTTATATTTTTAGTGTTGTCTATGTTTTAATATTCTCTTTAATTCTCTTGGTTGGGGGAGAGTTTGGTGTTCGGTTGTGTTGCTTATTTGTGTATATGAAGTAATCAATCAATAGACATTTTATTAGTCTATGTATTAATATTTTCCAGGTCCTATTTTTTCTTTATTCTTGTAATTTGATTTCTTGTGTAACTCTCGTCCAATCTCGTGCTACCTACATAGTTCTTCCTATTTATTTTCTGCTTTGGGACATCTTGGTTGGTTTTATGAATTTGGTTGTGCTACCTTTTTGTGGCTAAGGGATTGGATATTCAATTATATTTTTATGTTTTCTCATATACTAATATTTTCTTAACCATGATCTCTTTATTTTCATATTTTTTAATATTTATTTTTTGTCCTATCCTCTTGTGTTATCAATACAGCCCCATCTGTTTTTCTTCGTCTTACCTTAGGGGACGTCTTTATCCTATCCTCTTGGACGTGTGCTGTGACTTGTAGATTCGATTGCGATAGAAGTTTATAATATTCCAATAAACTGTATTGTTTTATTTTGGAGAACGTGGAACCTTAAATCTAAACTTTTTGTTTAATTATTCTTATTGTTTCCTTTATAACTTTGATCATTTTGTTCCGTTCTCTTATGCTATCAATATGCTTCATTTGATTTTGGGTGACGACCTAGTTTGGTCTTTGAATGAAGTATTGATACTTATTTGTGCCTAGACATTCAATTAGGTTTTTTATTGGTTTGGTCTATGTACTATTATTTTCTTAGTACTTTTAATTGTGATCCCTTGTATTACTCTTATGCTACCAATACAACCAATGTCTTGCTCTGTCTTGGGGATGTCTTGGTCTGGGCAATGAAATTTGGTGTGCTTCTTATTTGTGGCTAGGCTCGCGGGTTGGAAATTTAAATAAACTTTAAGTTTTCTTATATACTAATATTTTTCTATTCATAACCTCTTTATTTTCTTATTCTTTTAATAGTAATTTTATGTTCTATTCTCTTCTGCTACCAATACAACCTATCTGATTTCCTTGCCCTACTTGAGGGGTCGTGTTGGTTGGGCTTGGACTTCAATTGTGTTACCTATTTACGTCTAAGGGATGAGACAGTCAATTATATTTTTTAGGTTTGTCTATTTTCTATATTCTCTGTAATTTTCTTGGTTGAAAAACCATCTTTGATATGCCTAATGTGGCATGAAATGGGTCTTATATTGGCTATGTGCTATGACTTTTAGATATGGTTGTGAGCCATTTATTAGAGTTTAGAGTTTTTCAGTTGAACTTTAATATTGTATTTTGGCGAAATTGCAACCTTAAATTTTAATTTTTGTTTCACTCTCTTGTATTGTTACTATGAGTTCTTGAATTCCTTTAGCATACTTTGAGATTGATATATGATTGTCTTTGAGTTTTGTTGTGCTACCTATCATTCTTTTTTATGGGGCGGAGGAGAGGTTCGTGTTCAGTTATACCTTGTTTTTCTATGTACAAATATTTCTTTATTAATTGCTTATTATTTCACTATATTTTAACTTTGATCTTTTTGTTATGTTCTCCTGTGCTACCAATATGGTTTATTTCGAATTCTTTGCCCAACCTTGGGCGACACACTTGGTTTGGGTTTGAATTCGGGTGTGCTGCTTATTTGTGGTTACAAAGTTGTACATTCAATTTATCTTTTTATAACATTGGTATATGTACTAATATTTTTAAACTAAGGTCATGTTATTTTCATTATGCTTTTAATTTTGATCTCTTGTGACACCAATACAACCAATACAGTCATCCAATTTCTCGCCCTGCCTTGGGGACGTCTTGGTTTGGGCCTTGAATTTTTTGTTGTGCTATGGCTAAGGGACTAGAGCTTTGATTAGATTTTTAATTTTGTTAGTCATTAATTTTTTCTTACTAACGATCTCTTTATTTCATTATTCTTCTAACGTTGTTTACTTGTACTATCAATACAATCCATCTTCCTTATTCTTTTAACATTGGTTTTTTTTTTTTTCCATTTTCTTATACTATCAATACAACCTATCTATCTGATTTCTTTGCCCTATCTTAGAGAGAGGGAACATCTTGCTTGGGGCTTTCAGTTTTGTGGCTAAGGGGTGAACATTCAATTATATTTTTTAGTTTTGTTTCTTAGCTATAGTTTTTTATCAAAAATCGGTTAGCCATCTTTGATGTTCTGGTGTTACTGTGGCATGTAATTCAGTTTGGGCCCTAAACTGGATGTGTGTTGTGACTTGTGGATACGGTTGCGGGCAATTGATTAGAGTTTAGAAATTTTTTTAATCTACTATAATATTCTATTTTGAAGAACCTGCAACCTTAATCTTAATCTCCTGCCACGTTAAATCCTAATCTCATGTTTGACTCTCTCGTGCTCTTATTATGGTTCGTTGAATTCCTTTGCCATTCCCTGCAATTAATATGGTTTTTGTCTTTGAATTTTATTGCGCTAATTGGGGATGGTTGGTGTTTGTATGTATTTTTGTCTATGTATTAATATTTCCTTGCTAATGACTTAATGTTTCCTTATCCTATAAACTTCGATCATTTCGATCCATTCTCTTTGCTATTAATATGCTTCATTGATTTCTCACACTTCCTTGTGTGACGACTACGATTGGTCTTTGAATTAGGTTGTGCTCCTTATTTGTGGCTATTGAGTTGGACATTCAATTGAATTTTTATAAGTTTGCTCTATATATTTATATTTTCCAACTAAGGTTCTGTTTTATTCTTTATGCTTTTAATTTTGTTCTATTGGTTGGTGCTACTGCTACCATTCATCCAGTTTCTTGCTATGTGTTTGGGACGTCTTGGTTTTGACAATGAATTTGGTTGTGCTACATATTTGTGGCTAAGGGATTGGATATTCCATTAAACTAGTTTTCTTATATTCTAATATCTCACTACCAATAGTCTCTTTATTTCATTATTCTTTTAATATTAATATTTTATTCTATACTCTTGTGCTACCAATACAACTCATCCGATTTCTTTTCCATACTTAGGGGGACGTCTTGGTGGGGCTTTGACTTCAATTATGATATGTATTTACGGTTAATGGGTTGGACAATAAATTATAATGTTTTTGTTTTGTCTGTTCTAATATTTTCTTTAATTGCAGTTCTAAAAGTTGCCATTTTTTATGTGCCGGTATTAACGTTTGCTGAAACTGAGTTTGAGTCCTAAATTGGATGTGCGTTATGACTTGTAGATTTGGTTTCGAGCTATTGATTAGAGTTTAGAGTTTTCAATCAACTATAATATTGTAGTTAGGCGAACTTGCAACCGTAAATTCTAATCCTCTGTTTCACTCTCCTGCAACCTTGTTAATTCCTTATTGTTTCCTTATCGTTTTAACTTTGATTTTTTTTTTTTTCCCACTCTCCTATGCTATCAATATGATTCATTCGAATTCTTTGCCCTAACTTGGGCGACGACTTGGTTTGGGTTTGAATTAAGTTGTGTTGGACATTCAATTGGTTTTATTATAAGGTCTTGTTTGGCAATTAACTGTTAGCTGTTAGCGGATTGTGTCGGCTGTTTTGACCAGCGGATTGTGTCAACAGTTTTGACCAGCGGATTAAATTAGCGGTTTGTAAAATAGTGTTTGGTAAAATTAGTTATTTGTAATTAGCTGTTAATTTGTAAAATTGTTTATAAGGACATTCATATGTTTTATCATCATCTTACTTGTGTTAAAATTACTTTATGAGTAATATTATATTTTTAATATTATACAAAGTAATTCAAATAATATATTAAAAATATTTGTAAAAAAGTGTTTTGTAATTATGCACTTTAATATCATATGTTAATGTGTGAAATTATTAATTAGGAAATTTATATATTTTGATACTTTTTATGTTACATTTATATTTATTTTGGAAATATAAATTATTTTTATTTTCAATATTTACAAAAAAATAACATAACCCACTATAACTTAAACATCAAATAAAAGACATGCCTACTTGTATGATCCATGTAATTTTTGGACGTTTGTATGAATCAACCTAACAATTACGTAACTCTTCTTGATAATTAATTAGACATCAAAATTGAAAGTGGAATTATTTTCTCAACAGCTATATTGAAATGCTGCATATAGCACCGTTTTCGAAATTAGTTTTTTCATCTAAAAAGCTATTATAAACAAAAACCATTAGAAACAACTATTTTACCAAACATCATATTTAGCTTTTAGATATAGTCAAACAGCTAAAATGCCTTCAAAAAGTTAAAAGCTGGGGGAAAAAGTTGTTTACCAAGCATAGCCTAAGTTTGGTCTATGTACTAATATTTTCCAACTAAGGTCTTGTGTTTTCATTATGCATTTATTTTTTATCTCTTGTATTACTCTCTTGTGCTACCAATACAGTTCATCCAATTTCTTGTCCTGCCTTAATTATGACTTAGTTTGTTTTTAGAAATATTTCCTTGTTAATGACTCGTTTCCTTTATAACTTTGACCATGTTGTTCCGTGCTTCTATGCTATCAATGTGCTTCATATGATTTCTTTGTCCTACATTGGGTGACGACCTGGTTTGGTCTTTAAATGAGGTTGTGCTACTTAATTGTGCCTATGGAGTGGAACATTCAATTGAATTTTTTATTGGTTTGATCTATGTACTAATATTTTCCAGTTGAGGTCATGTTTTTTCTTTTTACTTTTAATTTTGATCTGTGTATTACACTCTCATGCTATCAATCCAAGACGGAGCTAAATAGGGGCCAGAGGGCCGTGGGCCCCCTTGATCTTTTTAACAAATCAATATATATATATATATATATAATGAAAAATACATAAAACGTATAGAAATGATTTTTTTTACAATATATTAATAATTAAAACTTATTAAAAATCAATATATATGTAACAAAATACTATAAAATATGTATAGAAATGTAAAAATATTAACAATATAGTAATAATTAACACTTATTTCTCATGCTTTTTTTTATTTAAATTAATAATATTTTATTTATTAAAATGTACTACCAATCTTTATATTTTAAATTTCTATATTAGCTTTTGAAAATATTTATAATGATTTACTCTTTCGGTCTCTTAATTGTAAATCGATTTAGTAATTTATAAAATCGTGTATTTAGTTGGATTGTTATATTTTATAATGTTGACTTTTTATTCTTTTTTTTGTTGTGTAATTGCATATTTTTAAATTTACATATGTTTGTCTTAAAAAAATGTTCATTTGATAAGCACTCATGAAAAAAAATGCTATGCAAAAGTTAAATTTAAATCAATTTTTTGACAATTTTTTTCATAAATTATAGATGTTGAACTTAAATTATAAATACTTGAAATCTCTATTTATATTTATATTAAGAAATTGATGGTACACGTATCTATATTTATATTTATAGCAAATATATTTTATATAAAATGAGTGTTTTGACTTAAACTACAAAATCATTATTTCACATTTAAAATCGGGCCCCCTGAGTAAAATCTTAAATTATAATGAATATCAAAAAATTATTGTAAATATTAAAAAATTATTTAAGAAAACAATGTTTTTGATTATATTTTTTTCTGTCTATTCACAATTATTATTTTATATAACAATATTTTTCTTAATTAAAATAAATAAATATATCAATAATATAAGAAAATAAATGTAAAATAAATGAATAAAAGAGAGAATATTTGAAGTAGAGTAATAAAGAGTAAATATTTAAATGTAAAATATTTGAGGTAGAGTAAGATAAAGAAGCATGAATTTTGGTTTAACACAAAGATCCCACGATATATTATTACCTAGTCGAACTTGTACGCTTCTTCCCTATTCCGCATGAATTTGGGTTTAACACAAAGATCCCACGATATATTACCTAGTCGAACTTATACGCTTCTTCCCTATTCCTAACTTCAGTAACTTCTGTAAAATTACCCATATAAAAGTAAAACCTAAAAAACCTTATTCACTACTCATTATTTTCTGCCGATCCAAATTTTGCAGAGATAAATTACTCGATTGTAATTAGAAACTTTTAGAGAAGATGAAGATTTTCGTGAAGACTCTCAAGGGTATCACCTTCGACGCCGAAGTAAAACTCGAGGATACGGTTAGTTCTCTCCTCTTTTTCTTTCCTTTTTTGGTTAATTTTTTTTAACTTTAGTTTGAATTATGAATCGTTCTTATCGGTTTGTGTAAATTTTGTTGTTTTTGGGGCGAGGGGGTGGTCGATGAAGGCTGGAGCTTATGTTTGGGCGATAATTGATGATGTCTGCAACTTTTGTTTTTAATTTGTTATTTTTTTTGTCGGCTTTAGTTTGTGCAATTGTATGATGACAATTTATGTTGCCATACATTAATTGGATTATCTGTCAATAGCTATAAATAGTGCCGGCGATGATTCACGGGGACCAATTTGCATATTGTTTTCATCTGAGTTGATGGAATTTGATACCGGAATATAGCTGAATTGTTATCTTAATATGTGGTAGCTGAGTTTCGCGACGAATTTAATGCGGGTTTTTTTTTTTAATTATTTGAAATCAATAATTTATGGGCTTTGTGGGTTGTTTGAATGAAACTCAATGTGGCTGTTGAAAATTAGTCTAGATGAAAGAGAATTTTCCAAGGTTATGCTTTTTGGAAAAGTTCTGAAAGAGTATCCGGCCGCACAGCAAATGCTTATCTACCAAGGGAAAGTTCTGTAAGATGACAGTACACTGGAAGAAAATAAAGTTGCTGAAAACAGTTTTGTTGCTGTTATGCTGAGCAAGGTAAAAAGTCTATATATTGGAAGTTTCTAGAACAATTTTGCTGAAATAAATTACAAAGGTCGTCTAGCCTATGCCCTTTGCAACCCTTTACAACTACATCTAGTTTTCCATGATTTTATTCTCTGATTTTTTTTATGTCCAGCAATTATTCGTTAATAATTGATGTATAATATTTTCTAAAGCGGTTAGACACTTAAGAAGGCATGCCTGATAATTGATTATTCAGTTTACTCTAGTTATAGGTATCCAAGTTTGCAGCTGGGGATCACTTTTTAATTTATTCTATTTTCTAAGCCATTGACAACATGCATTCCATAGGGATGATTTGAAGGGAAAAATGAATTTTCAACTTACAATGGAAGTGACAACAGATCCTAATGTAAAGAAACTTCATTCGCAATGAGCCTATTGAGTTATGCAAATCCTGCTCCATGTCAATGAAAATTGCTACTAACTCAACACCTTATACGCCTTCTGATCCTATCCGATATCATATTCATTATGTTCTTTCTCAAATGTTGTGAACAAGGGACCTACAGGTGAAGGCTCAACAACGGCAAACGTGCCTAAGGTAAGTGTATTATAGATTCTGGCTTTATATTTCATTGTCTTGATGTTTTAATTCTCACTTAAAAATATGTTTCAGTTGATTTTATTGGACACCATTCTTATTGTTTTCTTGTTGAGCTGGATTGTTGGTCGGTTGGTGTTTTTATGTGTGTGTTAGGTTCAGATGCTATTAACTAATGTTATAATGTGTAGATATATGAGAAATTGGCTTACCTTGTTGAAGTTAAAAGTTCTTTTGATTTTGCCGTGAGATGGAAATACATTTCCTTTTTATGGAAACAGATATTTTCTGGCATGCATAGTAATGTGAACCATTGTATGCTTCAGACGTTTTGTTTCTTTGTTTTTTTTCTTTGTGAAACTGAGAGTGAGATGGAAAATTTAAAACCTCTCCGTTACATTGCTAAGATGGAATATTAAGAGTTGAATTAAACTTGTAAGTTTTCTTATATACAAATATTTTTTTACTAATGATCTATTTATTTCCTTATTATTTTAATATTAATTTTATGTAATATTCTCTTGTGCTACCAATACAACATATCTGATTTCTTTGCCCTACCTAAGGGGACGTCTTGGTTAGGGCTTGGACTTCAATTGTGCTATGTATGTACAACTATGGGATTGCACAGTCAATTATATTTTTTAGTTTTGTCTATGTTCTATTATTCTCTTTAATTCTTATAGTTGGGGGAGAGTTTGGTGTTCGGTTGTGTTGCTTATTTGTGGATATGGAGTTAGTCATTCAACTAGACATTTTATTAGTTTGGTATTTTCCAACTCCTATTTTTTATTTATGCTTTTAATTTGATTTCTTGTATCACTCTCGTGCTCCCTATATAGTTCGTCCTATTTATTTTTTGCTCTGCTTTGGGGATATCTTGCTTTGTGCAATGAATTTGGTTGTGCTACCTTTTGGCCGCTAAGGGATTGGATATTCAATTATATTTTTAAGTTTTCTCATATACTAATATTTTCTTAACCACAATCTCTTTACTTTCTTTTTCTTTTAATATTGATTTTTTGTCATATCCTCTTGTGTTACCAATACAGCCCATCCGATTTCTTCGCCCTACCTTAGGGGACGTCTTTGTTGGGGCTTTGAGTTCGATTGTGCTATGTATTTGTAGCTAAGAGGTTGGATATTCGATTATAATTTTTGATTTGCCATCTTTGATGTGTCGGTACTACGGTACCATGAAACTCGTTTTGGGCCCTAGATTGGACGTGCCCTGTGACTTGTAGATTCGATTGCGATTTTCCAATAAACTATATTGTTATTTTTTGGAGACCTGGAACCTTAAATCTTAAACTTTTTGTTTCATTCTCTTTTGCTTTTAGTATAATTTATTGATTTCCTTTGCTTTTGTCTTTGAATTTGATTGTGCTACCTATAATTCTTTTTTTCGGGGGTGGGAGAGAGGTTGGTGTTCGAATATATATGTATATATATATATATATATATATATATATGTGTGTGTAGAAATATTTCCTTGTTAATTACTCATTGTTTCCTTTATAACTTTGATCATTTTGTTCCATTTTTCTATGCCAGCAATATGCTTCATTTGATTTCTTTGTGAATGAAGTTGTGATACTTATTTGTGCCTATATTAGATTTTTTACTAATATTTTCGAGCTGAGATCCTGTTTTTTCTTTATACTTTTAATTTGATCTCTTGTATTACTCTTATGCTACCAACACAACCAATTTCTTGCTCTGGGATCTCTTGGTCTGGGCAATGAATTTGGTTGTACTTTATATTTATGGCTAGGCTGACAGGTTGGACATTGAATTAAACTTTTAAGTTTTCTTATATACAAATATTTTTTCTACTAATGATCTATTTATTTCCTTACTCTTTTACTATTAATTTTATGTAATATTCTCTTGTGCTACCAATACAACATATCTGATTTCTTTGCCCTTCACTAAGGGGACGTCTTGGTTGGGGCTTAGACTTCATTTGTGCTATGTATGTACGGCTAAGGGATTGGACTGTCAATTATATTTTTTAGTTTTGTCTATGTTCTAATACTCTCTTTAATTCTCTTAGTTGGGGGAGAGTTTGGTGTTTGGTTGTGTTGCTTATTTATGGATATGGAGTTAGTCATTCAATTATACATTTTATTAGTTTGGTCATGTATTAATATTTTCCAAGTCCTATTTTTTATTTATGCTTTTAATTTGATTTCTTGTATAACTCTCGTGCTCCTTATACAGTTCGTCCTATTTATTTCTTGCTCTGCTTTGGGGATATCTTGGTTTGTGCAATGAATTTGGTTGTGCTACCTTTTGGTGGCTAAGGGATTGGATGTTCAATTATATATTTAAGTTTTCTCATATACTAATATTTTCTTAACCACAATCTCTTTATTTTCTGTTTCTTTTAATATTGATTTTTTGTCCTATCCTCTTGTGTTATCAATACAGCCCATCCGATTTCTTCGCCCTAACTTAGGGGACGTCATTGTTGGGGCTTTGAGTTCGATTGTGCTATGTATTTGTAGCTAAGTGGTTGGATATTCGATTATAAATTTTGATTTGCCATCTTTGATGTGTCGATACTATGGTAGCATGAAACTCGTTTTGGGCCCGACGTGTCCTGTGACTTGTAGATTCGATTGCGATAAGAGTTAAAATTTTTCCAATAAACTATATTGTTTTATTTTGGAGACCTGGATCAACTTTTTGTTTCATTCTCTTTTGCTCTTAATATAATTTATTGATTTCCTTTGCTTTTGTCTTTGAATTTGATTGTGCTACCTATATTCTTTTTATCTATCGGGGGTGGGAGAGAGGTCGGTGTTCGAGTATATATATGTGTGTGTAGAAATATTTCCTTGTTAATTACTCATTGTTTCCTTTATGACTTTGATCATTTTGTTCCCCTTTTTTATGCCATCAATATGCTTCATTTGATTTCTTTGTGAATGAGTTCTGATACTTATTTGTGCCTAGACATTAAGTTAGATTTTTTATTGGTTTGGTCTATGTTTTAAATATTTTCGAGCTGAGATCCTGTTTTTTCTTTATACTTTTAATTTTGATCTCTTGTATTACTCTCATGCTACCAACACAACCAATTTCTTGCTCTGTCAGGGCAATGAATTTGGTTGTACTTATTATTTGTGGCTAGGCTAACGGGTTTGACATTGAATTAAACTTTTAAGTTTTCTTATGTACATATATTTTTTCTAGGAATGATCTATTTATTTCCTTATTCTTTTAATATTCATTTTATGTTATATTCTCTTGTGCCACCAATACAACATATCTGATTTATTTGCCCTACCTAAGGGGACGTCTTGGTTGGGGCTTAGACTTCAATTGTGCTATGTATGTATGGCTAAGGGATTGGACTGTCAATTATATTTTTTAGTTTTGTCTATGTTCTAATATTCTCTTTAATTCTCTTAGTTCGGGGAGAGTTTGGTGTTCGGTTGTGTTGCTTATTTGTGGATATGGAGTTAGTCATTCAATTAGACATTTTATTAGTTTGGTCATGTACTAATATTTTCTAACTCCTACTTTTTATTTATGCTTTCAATTTGATTTCTTGTATAACTTCCGTGCTCCCTGTACAGTGCGTCCTATTTATTTCTTGCTCTTTGGGGATATCTTGGTTTGTGCATTGAATTTTTTGTGCTACCTTTTGGTGGCCAAGGGATTGGATATTCGATTATATTTTTAAGTTTTCTCATATACTAATATTTTCTTAACCACAATCTCTTTATTTTCTTTTTCTTTTAATATTGATTTTTTGTCCTATCCTCTTGTGTTATCAATACAGCCCATCCGATTTCTTCGCCCTACCTTAGGGGACGTCCTTGTTGGGGCTTTGAGTTCGATTGTGCTATGTATTTGTAGCTAAGAGGTTGGATATTCGATTATAATTTCTTATTTTCCATCTTTGATGTGTTGGTACTATGGTAGCATGAAACTCGTTTTGGGCCATTGGACGTGTACTGTGACTTGTAGATTCGATTGTGATCAGAGTTAAAAATTTTCCAATAAACTATATTGTTTTATTTTGGAGACCTCGAACCTTAAATCTTAAACTTTTTATTTCATTCTCTTTTGCTCTTAGTATAATTTATTGATTTCCTTTGCTTTTGTCTTTGAATTTGATTGCGCTACCTATAATTTTTTTTTCGGGGGTGGGAGAGAGGTCGGTGTTCGAGAGGGAGTGGTTCAAATAAAAACTTCTTCTGGTGTGAGAACCGTGAGAACCATATTTGATGCTATTTTTAATTGTGTATGATGCTATTTTTAATCTTACATGGTGCTATCATTTTTACAAATGCTAAGTTGCTATTTTTAATAAAATACATCCTGATTAAAAATAGCACTAAATACAATCAATCATAGCACTACATACAATTAAAAATAGCGGTTCTCACGGTTCTCACGCTAGGACTTGGTTCTCATTTGAACCACATCCTATATATATATATATATATATATATGTATATATATATGTAGAAATATTTCCTTGTTAACTACTCATTGTTTCCTATATAACTTTGATCATTTTGTTCCCTTTTTTTATGCCATCAATATGCTTCATTTGATTTCTTTGTGAATGAAGTTCTGATACTTATTTGTGCCTAGACATTCAGTTATATTTTTTATTGGTTTGGTCTATGTACTTTTAATTTTCGAGCTGAGATCCTGCTACCAATACAACCAATGTCTTGCTCTGTCTTGCGATGTGTTGGTCTGAATTAGGTTTTGCTTCTTATTTGTGGTTAGGCTAACCGGTTGGACGTTGAATTAATCTTTTAAGTCTTCTTATATAATAATATTTTTCTACTAATGATCTCTTTATTTACTTATCCTTTTAATATTAATTTTATTTTATATTCCATGTGCTACCAATACTACCTATCTGATTTCTTTGCCCTACCTAAGGGGACATCTTGGTTGGGGCTTGGACTTCAATTGTGCTATATGTGTTTGCGGCTAAGGGATTGGACAGTCAATTATATTTTTTAGTTTTGTCTATGTTCTAATATTCTATTTAATTCTCTTGGTTGGGGGAGAGTTTGGCGTTCGGTTGTGTTGCTTATTTGTGGATATGGAGTTAGTCAATCAAGTAGACATTTTATTAGTTTGGTCTATGTATTACTATTTTCCAGGTCCTATTTTTTCTTTATGCTTGTAATTTGATTTATAACTCTCGTCCAATCTCGTGCTGCCTATATAGTTCGTCCTATTTATTTTCTGCTTTGGGACATCTTGGTTTGTTTAATGAATTTGGTTGTGCTACCTTTTGTGGCTAAGAGATTGGATAATCGATTATATTTATAAGTTTTCTCATATATTAATATTTTCTTAACCATGATCTCTCTATTTTCATATTATTTTAATATTTATTTTTGTCCTATCCTCTTGTGTTATCAATAGAGCCCATCTGTTTTCTTTGCCTTACCTTAGGAGACAGTCTTTGTTGGGGCTTTGAGTTCGATTGTGCTATGTATATGTAGCTAAGAGGTTGGATATTCGATTATAATTTTTGATTTGCCATCTTTGATGTGTCGGTATTACGGTTGCATGAAACTCGTTTTGGCCCTAAATTGGACATGTGCTGTGACTTGTAGATTCGATTGCGATAGATGTTTATAATATTCTAATAAACTATATTGTTTTATTTTGGAGAACGTGGAACCTTAAATCTTAACTTTTTGTTTCATTCTCTTTTGCTCCTAATATAATATAATTTATTGATTTTGTCTTTGAATTTGATTGTGCTACCTAGGGTGAGGTGGGGATAGAGAGAGGTTGGCGTTTGATTATATATATATATATATTATGAAGAAATTTCCTTGTTAATTACTCTTATTGTTTCCTTTATAACTTTGATAATTTTGTTCCGTCATCTTATGCTATCAGTATGCTTCATTTGATTTTTTGTCCTACCTTGGGTGACGACCTCGTTTGGTCTTTGAATGAAGTTGTGATACTTGTTTGTGCCTAGTCATTCAATTAGATTTTTAATTGGTTTGGTCTATCTACTAACATTTTTGTACTAATATTTTTCAGTTGAGGTCCTGTTTTTTCTTTATACTTTTAATTTTGATCTCTTCTATTACTATCATGTTACCAATACAACCAATGTCTTGCTCTATCTTGCATTTCTTGGTCTGGGCATTGAATTTGGTTGTACTTCTTATTTGTGTGTAGGTAGGAGCAGTAGTAGGAGTAGGAGTAGTAGGAGTAGGAACAGTAGCAGTAGTAGCTGTCGTAGTAGCAGTAGTAGCCATCGTGGCCGTAGCGGTAGTAGCAGTAGTAGTAGTCGTAGCCGGTACTGTAGTAGCAGTCGTAGCCGGTACTGTAGTAGCAGTCATAGCGGTAGTGGTCGTAGTGTGGTGGTGGTAATTATATTTTTTATTATATTATATAATAGTTAATATTAAAATTAATAATTATATTTACACTAAATGATATATGAAAGTTGCATAAATATAACAAAGTATATTGTAAAAAAAAATTGTGCAAGTTATTGAGGAGTAGCAGTAGCAGTAGCGATAGTAGTAGGAGCAGGAGCAGCAGTAGCAGTCGTCGTAGCGGTAGCGGTAGCATTAGCAGTAGTAGCCGTCGTAGCGGTAGCGGTAGCGGTAGCGGTAGCGGTAGTAGCAGTAGCAGTAGTAGTCGTAGCGTTAGCGGTACTGTAGTAGCAGTCGTAGCGGTAGTAGGAGCAGTACTAGCTGTAGCGGTAGTGGTCGTAGTCATCGTCGTGGTGGTGGTGGTGGTAATTATATTTTTTTATTATATCATATAATAATTATTATTAAAATTAATAATTATATTTTACAGTAAATGATATATGAAAGTTACATAAATATAAAACATTATATTGTAAAAAAAATTTGTTCAAGTTATTTATTCTAAAATCAATATTATATTTTTTATCTTATTAAGATTTTGTTTTTTAAATATATTAATTTTTTTTAATATTATAATAATTTAATATCGCATAAGCAGTTGTTATAATATATTTAATATTTTTCATCTCAATGACTTGGACATGATCTCTCAAAACTACAAAAATTACATTTTATTCAATAAATATAATAATTCATATGCAATCAAATCGTTATCTACTATTTATTTTAACTAATGGTTAAATTTTAAAACATGATACAATTGTCTAACTTATAATTTTATATAAATATAATTTATAATACTTTATGTTTAAAATATATTATCAGTATCTAACTTATAATTTTAATATTATATACATATAAATAACTTACAATACTTTACTTACATCTGTGCAAATGTACATGATAGAATATTAGTAACGATTAAACAACGGATTGTAATAAAGTATGCTTGAAGTTGTTTAAACTTGTTGTTGACTCAGTGCTAATAATTTTAGCAATTCCTATCTTTTTATTTTTATTTTTTTTCTTTTAGCAATTCCTTATCAGCCATGCACTTAGCAAGTGCTCTCCTATTTCAGATTTATAAAGGGGTGATTGTTTATGAAATAATTTGTTCAAAATGAATTATTTTGGTTAATCATAGTTAATTTTGAAAAATGTGATATTGTAGTTGTAGTGGAATTTTAAAAATGTATTATACTAATATTTAAAATAAAATGATAAAAATTGATTTGATGTAAAAGTAGGAGATAAATGATTGTAAATGATTGGTAGTTAAAATTATGTGAGTGGATGAATAATGAATTGAAGTTGATGTGATGTGTAAGAATGATTGGTTTGTATTATTTAATTATATGAATAATAATAATAAAGATATTGGGGTTGAGTTAAAGTTGAGTTAGATTTTGAGTATGAAATAAATGGGAATGAAATAATTCATAAACAATCAAACCCTAAATTTTCAGGTAGTTACATACATCATTTAATTAAACCCTAAATTATAGAAAGAAAAATCCCGGCAAAATAATAATCTAAAATATGTGAGTTTAAATGACAGTCTCGCACGGATCGAAAGCTAATTTAACATAACTGTGTGCTTCGTTTGACATATGTACAAGTTTGCTTTAACAACTAGACTTGAGAATTACCACAAATTAAATTATTTTACCGTTTATTTTCTTAAATTGTCATATATTATATTTTTTATTCATTATCATATGTTACTTTTTTCAGATTTATTTATTAATTATTAAAAATATATATTTTCATATTTAACAAATTTAAGTTTTTCTATTTGTATTTATATATGATATATCAAGTTAATCATCTTTTCAACGTGTTTTGGGTCGACATCAATATCACTATATAATACAAAAATTTTTCATTTGTCTTATAAATAAAATTTAAGTTTATTTATTAAAGCAAATTGGAAAATATCAAATTAAACATTAAATTTTTTTATAAAATGATAAAAAATTTAATTTATGAATATATCATAAAAAATATTTTAGTTTATTGTTTTACAAATATGGAAAAATGTGGAAATCAAATAATAACAAAAAGTAAATATTAAAAAATATTCAAAATATTACGTGTCAACTTAAATAAAATAATATAGAGCTTGAAGGTTATTATGGTGTATAATTATATAAAGTAAAAAATGAATGAATCATAATTAAAATATTTGAAGAGTTAATATATGAGAGAACTCGACTCTATAAATAGAAAATATAATGACAATACAATTGGACATTTATAAAAATAAAAATTTTTGAAATCAATACTATTTGATATCAATAGATAATATTTGTTTTAGACATATTTTATATATGTAATTAATAAATTATCATTTTAATAAACTAAGTTAAACACGGGTTTTAAGTTATACACTAGTACATCTTTATTTCTTTATTATTTATTGTGCATTAATTGTTTACAACTTAACAAGATAATTCTTTTTTTGCTGTAAAAGTATCTTTTTTAAAAGTATCACTGTAGTTCACTTCACTACTAGTTAAAAACTGTGCAGGCTACACAGAAAAATTATAGTTATAGTTGAAAATTACTAGTACGAATCCCGTGCGATGCACGGATAAGAAATATTAATTAATATTTATAAATTAAAAATTCTCATAAAATAATATTTATAAATTAGAAACATGGAATCAATATTTAATACAATGTACCCATATAATTTATTGAAAATATTATATAAAAGTTAAATTGTGCAAAATTACATAAAAATATCTATTTAAAATTAGTACACATCCCGTGCATTGCACGTAATTGATAATAAATTACCTTATATCATTCAAAATGTGTCATTTCAAAAATTTTATTCAGAAATTCGATTTGATTATAACGTGATTTCATAAAATAATTATTTTGATAAAGTTTTATGTTATATTTAAATACTTATGTGAATAATAAGTATAAACATAAAAATTATATTGTTTAATTAATTAAAATTGAATTTATTTTTTTATAAAATATCCAAATTAAAAAATTTAAGTAGTTCAGTAAAACAATCAGTCATAAGATTTTTTATGCCAAAAAAATCAACACTCTTTATCATGCTAAAAAAATGAAGTGCATTTCACACAAAAAATTATGTAAAATATCATAACAAAAAATGAGTTAAATCAAGACCCACTAATTATACAAGAAATAAAAATTGAAACTCACGCTTAAAAACCGATATATTAGCTTACACATTATAGAAAAATTTTACCGTAAATTGATTAATTTTTCAACAAATTTCCTACAAAAAAAATAAAAAAAAAAATAATTATCAAATAATCTAAATAAATTTATTTACTTTATATCATATATTGATTAATTTATTTCCAATAAAAACAATCATCAATATCAGAAATAAATTCGTTCACTATATACCATATATTAATTAATTCACATGATTTGAGTAATTAAGGTATTTTAAAATATGGTTTAATTACTTCCTTAAATAATGAGCCGCAATTATCATATGTGATCATTTGAAATATACTATAAATTATTAAATTAATTTCTCAAAATAGTAAATAAATTTTTTTTAGAGAAATAATTACTATTTAAAAATAATCAAATATATATGTATGTTATGCATCTAGAGTAGAGAAAATGAGAGGTCTTGTTGTTGATGGATTGGGCTAGGCTGTTGTCTAAACTTCAAAGTCCATATGTTTCGATACCCTTCTAGAATGTGTGTTGGGCAATGTAATAAAATATTTCAATCCATATTGTTTACTGTTGATGATGATGATGAGAGTCCAATCCAAACTGCATGAAAAAGACTAATTAATCTTCTCTCCCTTATAAAATTGGATATTTTTTTTATTTTATTTTTTGGTACAAGGAAAGGTGGCTACGTAGAGCCTAATTTAGAACTCCCTTATAAAATTGGATTTTGTACCCACATTGATAAAAAGAAAAAATTTCAATTTCCACAATCCCCACCAATAACATGTGAGGTTAGTCTATCACATAATTATCGAATAGATGAATCAAGATAATTAATTACTCTATCTACTTCGAATTTCGTTATTATTCTTAATGTTTAAAATATTTTGAATTAGTGATACATGCTGGTGAGACGTGGCATTGCTTTAAGAATGTCCAAACCACATCAGATATCAATCGTCCAATGTGGTTGCTTTATGCAACACAATAATAACACATTATGTCACCAGCATGAAAAAATTATTTGTACATGCTTTCTAAAGAAGTTAATTTTTTTTTTTTTTTTTATGGGTTTTAGAATTTAATTTTATTTTTTTACTCGATCAAGTGTATAGTACCAATGCATGAAACGATGCGATCTCACTAGCCCTTTTTAATTACTGCAACTTCTGGCCTTAAAATTACTGGATGGTCCAAAATCAACGAGAGGAAAAATCAAAAGCATACATTAATTCTGCTAATAAAAACTAAGGGCTTGATTATTTATGAATTATTTTATTTCTATTTATTTCATACTCAAAATTTAACTTAATTTTAACTCAACCCCATTATCTTTAATAATATTCATATAATTAAATAGTATAAACCAATAATTCTTACACATCACATCAACTTCAATTCACTATTCATCCACTCACATAATTTTAACTACCAATCATTTTCAATCATTTATCTCTTACTTTATATCAAATCAATTTTAATCATTTTATTTTAAATATTATTATAATACATTCTTAAAATTTCATTTACAACTAACCATATCACCTTTTTTAAAATTAACTATAGTTAACCAAAATAATTCATTTTGATCAAATTATTTCATAAACAATCATCCCCTAAATATTACATAGTAGGTTGTTACGAAATGATGCCGCTTATAAACTCAGATCGACTCAATTCGTTAAAGCTTGAATTTAGTTTAGCTTGGTCACATTTAATGCTCATTTATAGGCTTGACTTGTTAAAACTAGTTAGACTTCATAAATAGGAATCTTTACGCTAGTCTTTGGACTTTTAGCATAATTTCACTCGTTATTAAGGTGTATTAACAAGTTGAGATTGAGCTCATTTATCGTTTAACTTATTTGGCCCGGCTCGATATAAGAGCTCGTGCCTGAGTTTGAGTATCATGAGCTCGAGTGCGACCCAACTCGTTTATATTTCTACCACACAAAAACTACTTTTGGCCCCAATTTTTGTGTCAAAATTGAATTTATTTTGGTCATATATATAAAATGTGAAAAGTACACGTTTAGAGTTTGAAATAGCGGAAGCAAGAAAACCAGAGATTTAAACTCTTCAGGAAGTGTTCCACTACGCCTCAGAGATCTTTTATTGACAAATTAGTTGTGCATACTTGTATAGTTTGGACTTACACGACTTGAACTCCCTTCTAGCCTAGCCACAACTATATACGATTCTATCAATTACTTCTTCGGACACTTCTCGTGGACTTTCGCACACTTGAATCCCTCGAGAAAAACTGGTACTTAATCCCTAAGTATTGATCACAAAAGTGTTTGAATAAAACAAAAGAAAACAAAACAAAACAACTTCAGTTCATCATTGACATAAGAACACCGAAAAACTGAATAGCGTACTAAAAACTAATAAAACTTGAAGCTCGGATAGTATGTGAATAATAATAATTTCAGTAGCCTTTTTCGATCTTCAAGCAGGGTATTTATATGAGCCTTAGAGCATCTCCAATGTTCAAATGTAGTTGTAGTAAATTGCATTCCACATTAACATATTTATCAATATCTCCACTTTTAATCATCCAATGCACAATGTGATCACAAATGTAGTGATTAAGTGGACATAATTAATGTATATAATGTAGGGAAGAATGTGGTCCATCCACATTCTCTTTCACATTTTTGTCAACCAATAGAGGGAGGAGAGAGTAATATTATAACTATTTTTTAAAATATCTCATTATTTAATTTATTTTCTTTCTTATTTATAATTTTTTTATTTTGGCCAAGTGGACAATATTGTGTTTGATTACATTGTGCATTGGAGATATTTTTTTAGATTCAAAGTTGTGAATTTAACAATTATCTTATGTGGTTCACAATTCATCTAGTTAATTGACATTTGTCAACATTTATATAATAACAACATATATGCATTGGAGATGCTCTTAGGCCAGGACTCTTCCTCAAGCAATCTCCATCTTTTTCGATTTATTTTCAAGTAAAATAGGAAGAGATATGGTAAGTATGGATCTCTTTCTTCTCTCTCCTAAGATCTCATCTCCATCCATGCATTCCTTTTTTGTTTCGTCCATGCATATCTGATCCTCCAAGAAAAATATCAACATAAAATCAAGCAATTCTTCATTAAATAATCATGTACATAAATAAATATATATTATATGATCGGAATATACGCGCATATAATTTAAATAAAAGAACTTTCTTTTTTTTTTTTATTCCACATGTTTGGAAGAACACATCTTCAATATATTATTTTTGAACTCGTTGCTAAAAATAAAATTCGAAGTGCTTGTTACAATTTTATTTAACTGGTTACAGTATACCTAGTAGAAAAGATGAAAAGATTGTCCGAGTAGAGCATTGTACAGTTCTGCGCAAGGACACAAATTAAAGTGATAGTTAACAAAATTTGTCTTTCGGGGAATATTACGTATAAGTCATAAGCAAATCAATTATGATTGTATTGTATAGTTAGGAATTACAAATAAATGACTTCTTCTTAAGTTTATCATAATTGTACACAACTCTACTAACTACTTCACTTGCTACTTCATAAATTAACAGATATAACTAGAATCCTTCAAAACACATGAGAATAATTATCTCCAATCCTCAAGAGTAAAAATACTTATGCCTGGACTACCAGCGAGATATAAATGAAATCTTGAATTCACAAATTATAAAACATAATCAACAATCTTATGAATCAATACTTAAGCTTCGCTCTACCAGCAACGGCGTAATTTAAATCCTAAATTCACAAATCATAAAACATAATCACAAATCATATATATATATATATATATATATATATATATATATATATATATATGTTGACACCCGAGTTCGAGAGCCGAACCGGAGACCCGGACCAGCAAGAAAATGCCGAGCTGGACCGGAAAACTTTTTAACCGTAACGTCCCCATGAGCCCATCAGTCAGCCCGGCGTTTTCAACAGTGAAGTCCCGATGCCGGTCTGACGAGTGACGGGCTGGAGGAAGGCTCCCCAGGACTGGAGGAACGAACGGCGATAAGGTGCCGACTTGGGGTCTCAGAACGGTCCCCAATGAGGGATGCCGATCTAGACAATAGTATAATAATGTCACTTGGAGGGTAATCATTGGTTATTGGATGGGACATCCTAGCTTGCTGACCTACTTCCCTTAGCCAAGACATAAAGCCTGTCAGCATTAAATGCCTGTCAGATAATGATGAGGAAAACCTCAAATCGCATTAAATTCCGTCAAGGAGGCGCCGAACTACTCTGCAAGAACATTGTACGACAAGACTGGTGAACAGTGCCTGAACAGTGTCACATTTAAGGCCACTATAAATAGCAACCCCTCTCATTTATTTTGGGTTGTTGAATTCCAACTGTAAAAAAGTTCTCTTTATATTTTCTCTCTCTAAACTTGTAATAAACTCGGGTAAGAAACCGTAAGTATATCGCAAGCGCCGACCTCGTACGAGAGGCCGACCTCGTGATCCTCTAATAAAACCGTGATTGAACCGCATTTCTCTGTCCTTTTCCTATTTTCCTTTTTGTCATTTGACTTTTTAACCGTTGACCGGAAACGCCCGTCAACAATATATATATCTGTATTTACTTTAAATAGTATTGTTATTCCGTCAAAAAATATTTTATTACTAAATAAGGATTTTTAAAATATTCTTTTTTTACCTTTTATTTTTCTATTTCCTTGTGATAAATTTTTCTTTACCATCATGGATAGACTTTTATTTTTTGTTTTAGGTTAGATATCAATAATTGATTTAAATCTATTGATTAAAATTTTTAAAATTTTTTAATCAATTATTTATTTCTAGCCATTTAATCTATTTTTATTTTTACTTAAGTGATGTTATATCATTAATTTAGAATTTTTTTTTTATAATTATAATGATGTTGCAAGATTACTCAAATTGAATTACACAAAACTGTTTAAAAACATATAATAATAATTATTATAACAAATTATTTTAGGTTATATGTGTGTTTGTGTGTGTGATTTTATTTAATTTTGTTTGAATATATAAGTTAAGAATATAATTTATCTTTAATGAACTTTTTTCATTACAACATCAACCGTCTATAATATTTATTAGCTTATAAATAACATACTACAAAAGTTTTAAGAAATCTACAAAATATCTTTGCTCTTTTAGGACTCATGTTGGTATCGTGTCATCGTGTCTATTGCATAATCAATTAATTAATTTAAATTTTAAAAATTATTACATTTATCTTTTCACACATATACATAATGTTAGAAACAATAATTTGTATTTAGTTCTATTATTTAGCATCACAATACATTGTCCTTTGTTATAAGTATTTACACTAACTTTTTTATTTTATGAAATAAATTATATTTGAAAAATAAATCTTTGGATCAACCGGACTGATTGAAGTAGCTTATGCACAACTTTATTGGAACAATTTCAGGTTATTTGTAAAATAGTCCAAAAATATAAAACAACTTGTGTTGCATCTCCGATAACCAAGTTATGAGTCAATTTTGTTGTCTGATCAAATCGACTATTGAAACTAAATATATATTTTAATATTAAGAATATTTTGTTCCGATAAATATGATGTAGTTCAAATAATCAAATTGAGATTTCCTTTTATGAGAACATGTTCAATAATTTATGAGTATTTATATATTATTTTATTAATATTTATGTAAATAAAATTATATTATATTATAAATTTTAATAATGTACTATAAATGACGATTCATGTTATTATAATATTTAATTTATATTACATCCGTATTATTACTTTCTCCTTCATCACGCGGGCCACGTGCTCAGAAAAACAATAAAACTCCCAATCTCAACCTTTCTCAAAATTTCACAATCTAATATATGCAAACAATTGAAAAAACAACTTCCAAGTAGGTTTGGACACCTTAGGTCTCCAGAGCTTCTATATGCATTATGTTTCCGTGTATGTATTTGGAAATTTTAGAATATGTTATAATATTATTTGTGAGTTGTCTCACGTTGATTTTATAGAAAAAATTGGCCTAGTTTGTAAGTCTCGTAGGTTACTACTCTCATCACCCATTGATTTTGAGATGGAACTTCACTAAGGTCCATCTAAGTCCACCCTCTTATGGTGCAGCCTGATCTAGGACATGTAGGACTCTCTCTGCTAATCGAGACTGATTTGGGAGGGCTGATAGGATTTGTGATGACCATCTCTGTTAATCGAGCCTGATCTGGGATGGTTAGAGAAGGACTCACAAGTGAGGGGGCATATTAAATCGTCATTTGTGCGTTGCCGTACATTGATTCTATAGAGGAAAAATTGACATAGTTTATAAGGCTACTATTCCTATCACCAATTGGTTTTGTGATGGAACTTCACTGAGGTGCACTTAAAGTTTTGGGATGAAACCTCACTAACAGCTTTGAGTTCAACCCAAAAAATTATATGTCACCTAAGAAATAAACTCAGTCTAAAAAAATATATTCTCCAATGCAAATAAAAGACTGGGTCGTGCTGATGTGGCAGCCAAAAAAAGAGAACCGGTCTACCCTTAAGTCTATTTTAGACATATATAGAGACCTAGTCTCTTTGCATTGGAGTTAATTTTGTTAATTTTACATAGTTTTACCCATGTCATTCAAGACTTGGGTTTATTTACATGTTATATAGACAAGACTAGATCCAGCGCATTGTAGATGCGTGCACTTAAACTCACCTTTTTATGGTGTGATTTATCGGGGATGGAACCTAACTAAGGTACACCTTGGCTTATCTTCTTATGGTACGATTCACCAAGAAGGAAATCTCACTAAAGTGCACCTAAGCTCACCCTCAGGACTGCACCACTTTCTCCGCAATCCAAATTTCTTAAGTCATGAAGAAACACACATCTTTCCATAAACAACAATATACCAAATCTTGTCGAGATTTTCAATGAGCTTCTCAAATAGCCTTAGATCTTCTTGACCACGTCCAAGATCAGCTGCCCATCCGCTTATAAGTTATAATTTTGCCGCATCTTTCCTTTTCCTACGAGGAAGAAGAAAGTCCATAACTGTGCAGGTGCTTAGGGCTGCTCGCGAGCCGCTTGCGAGCGCTCGAGTCAAAGCTCGACTCGAGCTCGAGTTTGACCGAACTCGAGTCGAGCTCGAGCTCAAATTTTTCCTTGTCAAGCGGCTCGCAAGCAGCTCGAGATTATGTTAAATTACTAAAATACACCTTGTATATATATGTATCATAATTTAATATATGTACTTAATGATAATTTTACAAAATTGCTTGAAAAAATTCGAACCGAACTAGCCGAGCTCGAGCTATTGTATTTTTTTATCGAGTCGAGCTCGAGCCTCAAAAATCGAGCTCGACAGCTAAAAAAAAAGTTAATCCTGCTCGATAAGGTCAATACTCGACTCGGCTCGGCTCGGCTCGTTTACAGCCCTAACTGTGCTCATAACATATGTTGTATATATAAGATAAGTAAATACATAAATATAAGCTACATACTAATATTCGTCTCCTCCTAAAACGTTTTAGTACTCAATAATGCATATTATATTAAATAAGTTATATCTAATACTAATAAATAGTTTAAAATTACATTAATAACAAGTAAAAAATATAATTTCTTAATTTAATTTGCTTGCCTAACAAAAAAAAATTATAAAGAAACTAATATTAAAAACCCTTAGATTTGCTGATGTCAAGCTAAATTTTAATAAAAGAAAAAGGGGAAAGCAATTTAATTTTAAAGTTTGTAAATGATGTAGAAAAACTAAAATGAAAGTTCAAAAATCTAAAGGACATAAAAAAGGAGAAAAAATAAACAAGTGAAGGAAAAACTTGAAAAGTAATACAAGTTGTTTAGGCAGGACGCCACAATCCACATGCTGTCACATTGTTACCAAAACCGACAATAGATTGACCAACTACTTGGACGTTAGCCCTCGTTGGTTTTTCTTTCATAAAAATCATATACTATGTATTAGACTAAACTTTAAAATCATCATATGCTTATTTCATTTGTTTTTCGCATGCAGAATTTAATATATCTTTAACCAAAAAAGTAAACAAACACACTTATCTGATGACAATTATTCGATACGTATACGACAAAACCAGAAATTAAAAGGCATTATCCCAAACCATTTCAAGTTTCAAGATTTCATAAAGAAAAAACTTTAAAAAGAGAGAGAACTTTATAATTTATATTCTTCCTTTTCCTACTTATATTTATTTATTTATTTAAAAAAAAAAAAAAAACTGGGAAAGCACAATGATCGAATGCTCACATGCACGTTTCGGTGGCCACCACAAGACATGGAAAGACGAGCCCTCAATTTATAGTAAAATATATGCAGTAGTCAAAACTACCGAATCTACATAATATTGAATTCAAAGAGAGGCCAAAGAACAACTACCTATGATAATAACAGCTGCAATCTCATAATTAATTATTTTTGTGGACAATAATTAAATGTGTTCTCAAAAGTCCAATGAAATCTGGATCCAATTGTTTAATTACATACAAGTGCATGGCTGATCAGAAGAATATCTTAACATGAACTGCAAATCATGCCTCATTATCCTAACATGAACTGCAAATCATGCCTCATTATCCTAACATGAACTGCAAATCATGCCTCATTTTTCTTCAAAATTTCCTTCAAAAGAAAAGGTCCATTCAAATGTAGCAACATCCATATTACATTTCAACCATGCACCCTCGGGCATTTTTTACAACAACAATATATTACACTAATGTACAGAACAGGGGTTAGAACCAAAACTATNTGTTCTATATTCTAATCAAACCAAATTCAAGAAGAACCTTTCCTTGAATGAAATTAACTAAACTGAAATTAACTAAACTAGCTAGAACACTGTGAGTTCAGGCATCCATTAAAATTGATGCATTGAAACATAGCCCTTGCATTCATCTCCCTCTCGAACCTCCATATATAGTTAAGCCCGACCAGAAGCTCAGTTATGGCGGCCTCGGTTTTCTCCTGATTGGCAAAATACAGAGTCTGGAACAAAAGAACACTGTTGTTAACCCTTGTCACCAAATTATGCTGCTCGAAGCTCCTCTCACTCTGCCACTTGATCATGTTATGCGCCAAAGGCGAAATCCACCCAAGTATATTGTGCAGGGCATCCCGCCACTCGGCCGCCAGGCCCGGATCACAGGCAGAGAGCCCGACACCCTTCAAACGGGCCCTCAACGCAAAACGAATACTATTAGGCAGCATCGCATATAAATCGTCCCTAGCATCGACCCCAACCAGTTGAGGCGATCGGATCATTTTCTCCATCACAATTATCAAATTCGAATAGTGTAAGGCCAATGCAGCTGCTCCCAACGTAGTTGGGGGAGGCTTTAAGATATCCGAATTCAGCTCGAAAAACCCATGTGGGACTTTTACAAGAGGGCCCGAGAGGAATGAAATCAGCTTCTCGGACGATGGGTACACTAAGGCCGATGAGGACGAGAGGCTTCGGGGGAGGGACAGTTGAGAACCGGGCCCGACTCCGAAAACGAGCTTGATTCTTGCGAGGATGGTGAATACGGGCCGGGCTAGCAGGGATGTGGCCGTGTCGAAGCTTTTGGACCATAAAGATTTCTCCTTTAGGTACTTAATCTCCTGCCTCTGCCAGAGGATCTTGTGCTGCAATTCGATTAGCCTCTGTTGTTTGGCGGATGCGTCGTTTATGTAGTAATCCTTGATGTTGCTCTGTGCAAGTGATTTCTTCAGGGAAGTTTCGAGGGCCGTGAGCTCATCCATTTCCCGGTGGAGATTGGCGGTGGTGGTGACGTACTGATCCATTTTCTTGATCTTGGACTCCATCTCCTTCGGGTTGAGAACCCAGTTGTACGGGTCGTGGCCCGAGTCAGAAAATTCGCGGAGCAGGCGATCGAAGCTCCGTAGGGACGGATCCTCGCATCTCTGGCTGATGCGGGAGATGGATTTGGCGATGGATTTGAGATTCTCAACGAGCTCGGCCCGGGTCAGGCCCAACAGGAACGCGTCGTCGTTTGAGACAATTTTTCGAACACCTTCAAGGCGTACGGACTCTGCCCGGAGGCGGGTGATGCTCTGGTCCGAGAGAGACTGCCATAGGTGGAGGAGCTTGGACATGAGGCCGGCGACCTCGAAGGCCAAAACGCCGACGTTCGATCTCTTTTTCAGCAGCTTCTTCGAGATCGGAGGGCCGGCGCGCACCGAGTCGAGACTCTGGGCGATCGTCTTCTTCACCTTGACTAGCCAAGTCTCGGGAGCCATTAATTAGGAAATAAACTTTTCAGTGATTTTTTTGTTCTTTTTCTTAATAGGTTCTTGATTTGGGATGAGAATTGAAGATGAAGATATGAAGGAGGAGATGAAAGAGAAAGAAATAATTGAAGAGTGGAGGAGAAAGAGAAGTGAATTAGTGTGAGAAGCTGTCATGGGATGTTGGAAAAGGAAAGCAATAGAATATACAAATAGTAGTCGTCTCCTCTAAACCAGAGGATGATGAGAGAGAAAAAGGGAACGCACGAAGAGTATGTGTGAGAGAGAGTGGAGAACATCGTGCTTCATAATTTATTAGGTCGATAAACATTGTTTCTTTGAATCAGATTTCATATTTGACATAAATATTTATTTGCAGTATTAGTAAGTAACATTTACTTTTGACCATCTTTTTATTTCACAAATCTTGGCATGCTCAATGATATCATTTATTTCCATTTCTTACATATCAATATATCACTTTTTATCATATCTTAAAAGTTAATAATTTTATTATATGTATTCCTTTTTCATATTTGATTTATCAAATTAATTGTTTTTTTAAAATAAATTATTTGGCATCCATATCACATATAATCATGTTTGAAAAGAACTTTAAAAAATTAAAAATTAAATTAGCAAAATTGTAAATAATATCTTTGTTAGACACGCATTATTTTATAAATATAATTAAAATTAAAATAATTCTCATTTTTAACTATTTGAGGGTAAAAACTAGTGTCAATTTTCATTAATTATCACTCTATTAGCTATTACTTATTTGTTGTACATTTATTTTATAATTCATAATAAAAATATAAATAACTTTATTTAATTTGAATTTCTAGTATACAAATATTTTTTTTTTCAAACGCCTATATAGTACACGGTGTCGTATTTGTTTTTTATATTGCTAATCGAAAATGTGGGATTATTAATGTTAATCTCTTAACAAATCAGTAGATTTTACATTTGTTGGTGGTGTGAATAGCCATTGAATCGCGTCAGCCCATTGGCCAACTGACTCGGGCCTACTGACTAGTTTATAGGCCCCGGTTGAAGCCTGATAAAAATATTTGACCCGATGTTACCTCTAGGTTCATTGTCGAAAAGTTTGAATTTTGAATTTTAACTAGTTTTGAGTCCGATTTTAAAACGATAGTTTGTACAACTTTGATTTGATCTCGATTGTTATAAGATTAAATGTTAATAATTACTCGACCTAACGGGTCGACGAGCTCAACCATGAACTAATGGTTTGCGTGAAATTTTTTATTTAAAAAATAAAATACTTTGACATGTTGTCTCGACCTTTAATTGAAACTAAAGAGTTCTTTACCTGAAACCACTAATTATATCCCCGAGCCAATTCTCATTAATACTTTTATGAACGTCGACTGGTTAGATCATATTCGCTCAATCGACCTTATTTGAGTTCAGTTATTTTTTTTTTTCAAACGATATATTATTATATTAACCTCATAATGTACAATTGGTAACCAATTATTACAATAATCATTCTAATTGTAAAGTGACAAAAAGAAACAGACCAGGGGCATAAGAGCCCCCTCCACAATGTGAGCGACCCTAAAAGACTCCAAAATAATGGAGAAAAAAATCCTCTACAAAGGGAGACTGAGCTACTTCATAGAGGGAGACTGACAACAAAGTAAACCAAAAAATAGAAAATAACACAATACGAACTTCACTCACTTTACACAAACAAACCGTTCACCTCCCACACTTCATACAATAAGGTCCTGATTATTTGGTCACTTTTGACCAGATTTTTTTTAACTCTAAGACTAACTTAAATTTAAGTTAATCCAACCCACATCAGTATTATCAATATAATTAAATAATATTTATCAATCATTTTTACACATCACATCATTTTAGTTCAATATTCATCCACTCTCATAATTCTAATTACTCGTTACTTTCAATGATCTGTCTAGTTTTTTTACATCAAATTAATTTAATTACTAATAAATATTATTTTGATACAAACTTCAAATTTTACTCAAAACTAATATTGCTAAGTAGGATATAGCATCACTATATTATTAGTTACTTTTTGAGGATGACCACATACGATAGNAAATGGTGCTCTAAGTATTCAAATTCATCATTATATTTATTATATAAAATAAAATACATAATTATTTTTCATTAAATTCAACTAATATAGTATACAATCTTGCATGAAATTTTTGAATTTGAATGAGCTGGTGTAAAGATCTCTATTACAAAACATGACTTTTCTTATATATATTTTGTGTTGTATCTATAGCATATCAATACTTAATATTTCTTTTGCATGTGAATAGTCAACATACAAATTAAAAATAATATTTTTAACTATTCAAATTTAAGGGTTTAAACATGATCTCGTAACCATGCAACACTTACATTCTCCAAATATAGAGAATAAAAGATGGTAATCGCATGCAACCATTACAAATTCAAAATATAGTAAAAAAATAGGTAGATGATTGTATGGAATAAATTAAAAGAAAAAAATATGTTGTAACGGTTTTTGGATGGAGGTCATAAATTTTTTTATTAAATGCAACTTATTTTTATTAAATGAACTCATATTATTATTAATTGAAGGTTGAATAAAATTATTAAATGAACTCACATTTTTATTAAATGAACTCATATTTTTATTAAATGAACTCATATTATATATATATAGACTAGTTTTACCCCGTACATTTGCACGAAAAACGATAAGTAATTAAAAATACAAAATAAAATAAAAATCATACAGAAAAAAAAATTAAAAAAAAATGAATCTAAATATTACTAAACACTTCTTTATATGCAACAGTCATGGTTTTTCCCATCACAATAAATCATTATCGTTAACTTTCTTCGACTCGTGACTCTGGAATTTGATTTTTCAAAATATTTGATGTATCTTTGTAATATTCCAAAAAATATTTTTTTACTATTGTATGACAACAATAGAAAATGGAGATATTTGTAGTTATTCTTAATTAATTGTGAAATATATATTTATATGATACCAAAAATATATAGTATCAATAAAAAAAAATATATTTTGTATTTCAAGAGATGAAAAGACGTTACAGAAATGTGCACCATCTAAAATGGAATCTAAAAAATAAATTATGTAACTGAAAGTTACATATTATTATTAAATGGTGAACATATTTTTATTAAATGAACCTATTTTTTTAAAATAAACTTATATTATTATTAAATGGTGACTGAATAAAATTTATTGAAACTTACCAGCAATTATATATATATATAGATTTTATAGAGTAAATATCTATATATATTGAAAAAGAGAGGTCAATAAATCAAATGAGAAAAGTTTAAAAAAAATCACAGTCAACCAAGTTGACTTACTGAATATGGCAATATTTTAAAAATCGTACAATTTGAAATTTTGATTCCTTATATTGCGACTGAAAATCTGTTCACGCGATTTCAATTGAAATCTGTCACACGTCTCCCCAAAAATTTGCACCCTCCCGTATTTATCCCCATAAAATCTCTCCCCAAACACCAAGATATCGCCAAAATTCTTTAGCCGCAGCTCCATAAATCACGCCTTAATCTCCCATAAATCCTCACGGTTTCCAAGCAAGGAGTTCAGGAGTCGCTAGATAATCTCCAAATATGCGGTCGCCTCCACGTTCCGCTCCGCCTCCCAATCCGACGTCATTTGGGGTCGATTCCTGTCGTTCGATTATCGTGATCTGATAGCCGGTGCCGTCGACGGCCCTGATGCCCTGATTTCTAAATTCCATTCTAAAAAGGACCTGTATCTGCACCTGTGTGATCATCCGATTCTCATCGATGGAGGCCGCAAGGTCGGTTTATTTTCTTTTTTTTTTTTGCTTTTTTGGGATGAAATCGATTCGTAACTGTGTTTAATTTTCATATGATTATAGGTTCTGATTTGTGCTATCAAAATTGTTACATGTGGGGGTTTTTTTGGAAAAAATAAAAAATAAGAATGAAATTAAGGCGGTGAAGAGGACGTGCGAGTTCATCACTTGTATGAGTATAAAGAAGGCTTGCCGAACAGACGATTCGACCGTGTTGACTACAAAGGATTTTGAGGTTTGAATCTGTATATTTATGCATACTCAGAATGTGTGTGTAAGTTAAGCATGGCTTAGTTACCGTTTTTTATTCGTAGAATTGGAAAGTCCCATTAGGTGATGATGGTATGATGCAGAGGATGATGATGATGATAAACACAAATTATGATGAAGAGTGTTATTTTTTGTGGCCCAAATGACGTTTGTGGATGGCCGTTTTACCGGTTTACTCCATCTCCTAAACCTTTGAGATAAGTGTTCTCAAATTTTGAAATCCTCCAAAATCGGCCAGTTTGTTTTTCCTCCCGATTCTCCCCTATTTTCCTCTAATCATCCTTTCATATTAATTAGAGTCTGCGTGTGTGAAAAAGAAGAACAGAGGGCAACAATGTGTGCTGAGGGGATAGAAAAAATATATCCGTGTGCTCTATGAGTTGAGGAGAAAAATATGTGAGCACTCTTGGTGAGTGCTAAGTATGTGTGAGAAAAGCAAATAAATCAAGTGCATGTTTTTCGAGAGTGAGTGGAAAAACCAGAGTGCTGTGTGTGCTTTATGAGTGTGAGGGTATGAAATAAAAACAGAGAGATTGAGAGAATAAAACATTTGGTACGTATCCATGTGAGAGTATTTCGAGGTTTCCTTTGTACGAGGCGTGTGTTAACGAAATTCGGGTGCCGGTGGTTCTAATGGCTATGTCCCGGAGCTAGATTCTTTGTGATTCTTGTGGGTATAATTATACGGGGGCCTGAGCCTGTGTAATTAACACTTTACGTGTGGCTTTCGAATTCGTCTACGTAAAAGGGTGTAATCGTTCTCAATCTCATCCTCTCTTGATTAATTTTAATTTATGTTTATTAATCACTTTTATTTTTTTGTTTGTGGCTGCAGTATACACACTTAAATTGATGCCATGGTGATGGTGATTA